CTAAAGAAAATCCCTATTTCACCTACAAAATCGAAGTTACAAAATACCCGGAGAAATAATCGGATAAGTAAAGGTGCTTTAAGAGACACACTATGAACGTGAATGTGTCTCTTACAAACTATGGCGTCAAGCTAATTTTAATTTGAAGATACCACACTCCACACCACGAGTCCATCACGATTACGTGCACAGATGTCGGTACACCCAAGAATATGTTGGCCCAAATCCTAAATCACCCCTTCGAATTTTTTTTATCCAGTCTAAACTTTTCTTCTGGACGAAACAAAAAAAAAAATCTAGTCGAGTATTAGAAGATTGATCTCAAAAGACCACTTCGTCGCGCACGTATTTTTTGACTACTGATTATGAATAAATACTGGTTTCAAGATCCTCTTTGTTGATTGATCAACCAACGAAATGACTGATAAGTTATTAAAGAAAAGTCGCTTGTCGAAAGGACGGCACGGAATGGGATATGCGACGGCTAAAAATTAATAAATTGCATAACATTCGAAATAGTGTGACCGTACAAAAAACTAGGACGAGATACGACTTTGCCATGTAAAAATCAAAACTACACAAGACACTGAGAATTTAATTAAAGTCCATAAAGTCGTGCAAAAATGGTAATCGCGAAAGAGATAAAGTACTAATAGTTTGAAATAACGCAGTATAGTATGTTATATAGTTTTCACCTGATACAACACAAGTGTAGAAGTCATAGTTTCAATGTCATAAAGTACAATGTAACATAATGTAGGTAAATAGAAAAAATTTAGCATAATGCAGTGCAAAGTAGCCCAGAATGGGATTTACATAGGAGGCCGAGTGATATGGAAAACTCTGAGCATCAGATGACCCGCTGACCCGTACGCCTGCGCGTCCCCGGCATGGGGCGAAACACGAGTTCAACTCCCGTCTGAGGTTCGAGGTTTTGTATACCACTCAACATCTCTGTTCATATAGTTATAAAGATCATAATACTGCTATAAAAGCAGTAATCTAATCCTTGCAGAATGTATATACCCACTGCCTCTGCCACATCACTAAGTTAAATCTCGATATGTGCTAACCGGACCAAACCTGCTGACGGCTTACTGCTGACAGCTTCGACACCTTACGTCGCAGAAAGAGTTAGAACAGAGCAAAGGTTCCCGTGGTACAGTTGTAGTTCCGCCACGTTAAAGAGGAACATAGTTTCAACTCCAACCTGAGGCTCATTTTTTTCTTATCATTCAGCATCCTTGGATACATATTTATGACATCGCAGTGCTACCATAAAAGCGGTAAAAAAAATATATCTTTCGAATTTTATAGCGCTTTTTTTCGTTATTGGCTAAACATTCAACATATTTGCGACAACTATCTACAGTGTTTCGATAACCGGTCCACTTGAGCTGCCAAGAACGCCAAAGACCATTAGAACATACGTTGTCCTATCATAGAGAAATCTCGAATGTTATTCGCTATATTGAGGTACGAAATACGAGTGTTGAGAGAAAAAAAGTTGAAAGGAATTTAATTAAAGACTTCAAAAACTAGGAACCTAATTTCCGCAAGGAAAAACCGATTGGTTGTCATCTCATTGCGTCAGAAGGTATTCGCTGACATTAAACCTCGATGAGAAGCCGAGATTCATGCACTACTAGCTCTCCAAATCAAGAATTTTTGACATTTTCCGAAGTTTGGAGCCATTCTAGCAATAACATAGACACACTAGCTCGAAAGTAGTGAACACCTGCGAAAGGATTAGCAGATTTTTTGGGATTCTGAAGAAAGTAAATCTTGTTCAATACGCAGATTAATATGAAGGGGAAATCTCACTAGTGACTGCACGTATCTTCAAGGAATCACAACTGTTTAGAAAAATGCAGATTCCCTGCAATTTTGGGCACTTTACTGACCGTCTTCACATTTTTCTCCACTGTGAGCATCCCAGTACTTCTAGCAATCAACTGGCTTCTTCGTCTTCTTCTTGAATGTCGTAGAATATATTGGTTGAACGCGTCTCCCTTGCAATCTCGAGGATAGCTCGGCTGTGGCGCTCCATAGGGCGTTCGTTGTTGACTGCTGTAAGTGTCGGTGGGAACGAGAGGGTTGGCTCCACGTCCGCCGCCACGAGCATCACAACCACTCAACCACGGCGCTCTACAATATGAATTCCAGTGCTTTAGAATCTAGATAATTGAGACAATTATGAGCTGATTTAGGGAGCAAGTAGTACGATGATAGTGACCTAATTCATTCTAAAATGACGACCCGCACAGGCCCTGGATCAACCACGTCTCGAGTCCGTCAACCTTTCATTCCCACCGAGGTCGAGAAATCTACGGTAAACATCTGAGATTAGCTGACTGTGTGCAGTTTACGTGGAAAAGCCCTACCAAAGGTTTCTCCGAATGGCAGAAAAAATAGAATGTTTAACGAAATTCGTGACGAAGGCGAAAAAATTCAAGCGGCTGTCGAAACGAAGCGCAAAAAAGTTCAAACCCTTTGTCAATAATGAAGGCGAGGATATAAATTGAGTGCGAGAAGCGTTGGAATTCACAAAATGTGATATATGTGTCATAGGTATCGGCTCATGGAATAATCAATCAAACGAGCCAAAATAGGTTTAGTTGACGTTTGAAGAAGACATCTACAGGAATACATGTATTGGAATCAATGCACATAGTCGCGAGTATGTAAAATCATCAGAGTCACACAAAGGACATAGAGAGCACCATCTTCTTGATGCGACAACGTTCCCTTTCCATTGGGAGTGAAAGTAACGATTTGAGACGTATCGGATTAGGCTATGACATAATCCCAGGTCTAGCTGAGTTACTAGATAGAAATTTCGATTTTCGCCTCGACGTGATTAGCCCTGATGTGGCTTTGACCGCCATTATACACTGAAGTCCGACACCCAAAAACATCTTTCAGCCAGATGTGTGTCTCGTAACAAGTGTAATGGGAATTATTTACGACACGTATCTCTTAAGAGATAGTGAGATATTTTACACCACGATGATTCCATAAAACCCATAAAAGAAAAAGTGAACGGTGCCGATGAGATGTCCCAGTTTTCTTCTGATAGCAAAAAGATTACCGCGTCAGTTGTGTGCGCTATCGAAGCGAACCGTTCAGGGCGGAACCGTCATTAGCCAGCCAGCCAAACACGCTACAGCCATCACCACCATCCATCAGCACAAGGATTGACCTGGCCAGTTGTTTATTTTACTTCACTCAAACCACATGGCGGTAGTCGAAGACGAATCCCATCAATTGACATGACATGGAAGAGCAAAAACTACTGCAATAACTTCATAATCATCAGCCATATAAGAGAAATAAGCTCTGTGAGATCTCACAAAGAACTTGACGCAATTCGGATGGATTATTCATATGATCACAAAAACCCATATCGACTAGAATCCGACAAAGTTAAAGCGTGGTTCAGAAAATGGAGATCATTCAAAAAGAATGGATAGAGGTTCCTGCGACAAACACGTAGTCGTTGCTTCAATCCTCTATCCGAGGCTCCAAGCCTTTCATCATTCTAGAGTCGGTGATTTGATGCCAGACTTGTCTGGGAGCAAAACAGCACTGATTTGATACATCGCTATCCAAACCCCACGAGTCATTCATTGTAAAGGCTAGATAGGCATTTAATCGTCTATAACGATGTCTAGTGACGTCAAATCCATAGGGTATCCCTCGGCGACTGATCAAACCTGAGCGCTTTCTCGCCTTCTTTGTAATGAAGGACTGTGAATAACCCATACTTTCCCAAACTCTAACAAAGAGGCCGACAGTCTACTGGCATTGATCGAGTCAAAAGCTGTTGAAATCCAGAACCGTATAAGATTCCGATAATTAATGAAAAAGTCATGAGAATATAAAAGCTCAGAGACGTTCATTTACTATTCAGTAGAAAATATCATAAATTAAGGCCAATTTGCAGAGTACTTTGGATATCTATATGGTAGACGGTGATGAATATACAACTTCATTTGCTGGACAAGATTTTTTTATAGGAAAGTTATTAATCATTCGAAATCTAAAATCTCTGGCCAGAGCTATACACTGTTGGTTTTTCAAAACACTTTTTTATAACGCTGTGAAATCCACAATAAAATTATGTTTCACACGACCACGCGTATTTTTCGTTGGACAAAACTACTTTCTTAGATTGCTAGTACTCTTTCGATAACATAAGCCGCGAGGAACTCAAAAATGTGCTTGCTGTTTGGAGAAGCTCTTTTGATAGCGCTGTAAGAGAAAGAAAAGATTTGTGCTTTACACCTCGCCGGATGAGCTCTTTCTTTAGACTTTTAGTAATCATTCCATAGCGTAAGCATCACTGATTCCAAGTTGTGCTCATTTTCTAGGAAAGACCGTTTTGCGAAGTGCAGCAGAAAAAATGATATCGAACTTCACATGCTCGGCGAGCTCGTTTACCGACCCAATCACGGGTGATAAAGGTGGGGGAGGGGCGGTCGATCGATACGGGTTAAATGTGTGGACTGCAACTTATTTTCAATTAGAAATTTTTCCTCCACTTTGGAAGAAACTTCACACAAAACGATTTCCCTCAGATACTACAAAAATTTCTCTACAAAATCATGCTTTTGCGCTTCCGGCGAGTTATACTCGCGACAAAAATGAAAGCGCGCGGTGGAACTGAAACTTGATTTTATTTCGGATTATACAAAGTTATAAAAAGCCTTTTCCGAAAACCCGCCACGTCGAGCTGCAGCCAGAGATTTCAGTTTTTCAATGATTTCTAACACTTCAACGATAAGTTCTGGTCTAGCGAATGACGTCGAATATTCATTTATCACCGTCTAACATTTAAGTACCGTACCTTGATAGTAATAACTTCGTTCTATAGTTCTTTGAAGACTGAGATAAGTCAAATGTCTTCAGACATCACTAAATACTCGGATTTCCGGTATAAACACAAAATGATTATGCATCTCAGATTCACCCAGTGATGTTAGTGATGTGCAAAACCTCGACGTCACGCGGGACTCGAACCCGTATTTTACCATTTCCAGGGGCGCGTGCTTGACCAAGTGCGCTACCAACGCCTGTTTTGCCAGCAGTCTTTCTACGCTACAATGTACCAATCTGCCAGCGAGCGACAGTCAACGACTCGGCTTGGACCACATAGTCCCGCCTAACGTGCAGGTCGTATCATTGGTGAAAAGCGATCAAGTAGTAAGAATTCTGGTTGATCACATCCCAGGCTATTGAGCGGTATGCAAAACACTTGACTCATGCGAGAATTGAACGCGCGTTTCATCAATATCGGGAGTGCGAGTTACCACTACACCACTAACAACACCGCTTTGCTACCACTCTTTCTTTAACATATCCTATCGTTGCTATCAGCAATCAACCCCTTCAACGTGTTTGGCCTTGTGAGCACACATCATTCGACTCAAGGCGACGGCCGCTCGAAACGTTGAAGAAAGATGATGGAATAATTATCTGGGTCCCAGATTTGATGCCATGCGGACTTTTCGTAGATTTTCAAAAGACAATGTAATTATGGGAAAAGTAAAGCTCTCATGCGAGCTTACGAAATTATGCTCAACCAAAACGATCCCGCTGGTCTCAAGAGTCAATCTGATTGGATAATTCGATTTCGACGAGTAGTTAGTTGATGACGATTGGGTCGAATAACGACGGTAACGCTTAATCATTTCCAACCCGGGAAAGTAAAAACTGCCTCGTCTCACTTTTTCTTACTGCATATTCCTGCACTTACCTACCTTTTCTTCCTATCCTTCAAAAAATCCTCACGCGGCAGGCTGGAGTTGATCTCGCATTCATCCATACCAGGAGGCGCATACTACCACTACATCACCGAGGCTTTTGCTCTCCGATTACTCTGTAGGGTTTTTTCATTCATTGTCTGACACTTTGCCGAGAACGTATGACAAAATGATCTACGCGAGGTTTACAAAGACGACTTTTTTCTTCTTTTCTTTTTATCTCGAAGCTGTACGAATCTTAAAAATTTGCTCCAATGTCGAATTAATTAATCTCTTGAAATAAAGAAGATGTTACTAATAGATTTGTCTAATAAAAAAAACCGCAACTCGAATTGTAGCTGACGATCAATAGTGCAAGTGCGAATAGGCATTGGGAGTAGATCGTTAATCAATCAATATTGCACACATGAAAATCGATATGGTAAATCAGTACCGTGGATGTGAATCGATTCTGACGCAAATGGAAGTCGATAAACGATCGATACTGTAGATGTTCGATACTAATACATATAGATTATTCCATCGTTATACCGATCGATATCGATTAGAGATGGGCAGCCAATCGATAAAGTTGAACTCACCGACAGCTATCTTCAGTAATTTTAGAAGTGCCAGATGTTGCGTGCGGAGGAGAAGTGTTAGTTGATTCTCAATGAAATAAACCCACCAACATCTGGGTTGCTGCTGATTTATCTCGACGATCGATAACGAGAAGAAAAATCGATCAACAACGAGCGGAAAAATCTATCAATAATCCAGGGAAAAAGTTGAGTTCCGAATCCTGTCACAAAAATACTCCTACCGAGCGCCAGGGAGACAGCTGATTAGAGTGCGGGATAAACGAGGGACAGAGCGCAGACGAGGAAGAGTAACGCTGAGGGATGGGGGCAGTGACGCAGAGCAACTTATGAGGAGGAAGGATGGCAGAGGGAAGACCGGCACCGGCTCTATAGACAGACACATACACATACACACGCACACAAATAGACAGGCAGACAGACGTACTAGGGGAAACGAAGAGGCTTGTCTGACCCTTGAACTCATGGCTAGCAAACCCTGCAAGGGAGGGGGCCGTACTAGGGAAGAGAGAGAGAGAGAATAAGTTCCATCGGGACACCTCTGACTCTTGAACTCATTGCTAATAAACCCTGCAAGGAAAGGGGGAGGGGCTGAGACGTACTAGGGAAGCGAGAGTGAGAAAATAAGTTCCATTGGGACATCTCTGACCCTAGAAACAGAGCTAGTAAACCCTGTGACGGAGGGAGAGGGGCAGCGCAGTGGCTTTGGATGCAGTGTATCTGTAAGCGAGGTGATGAGCGATGCACTGCTGGCTCAATTCCCTTCCCCGACAATCAATCAAGTGAACGGCTAGGAACGCGTTCTTGCTCGGCGACCTCCGAGATAGCAAAGAGAATCGTCTCGACCGAGCATTCTACGACATTCGTAAAGAAAGCGAGACGTTCAAGCAGCAGCAGCAGCAGCAGTCGTAACAACACGTGAGATATTTTGAAGGTCTAGGTGGAGATTCGAGGAAATGAATCGAAGGCATCGAGAAAATGAATGGAAGGCAAAAATAACTGATAGTTCTCAAATTATTAGGATGAGGAAAAAATCCCTCAACATCCGCAAAAAGTTCAAATTTTATGCCCAATAATGTGGAGTGCTGTGCAAAAACATCTGCGTCAGCCGGGATTCGAACTCAAATTCCACTCTTTTCGGGAGCGTAGGCTAACCGTTGCACCACCGACGCTCGTTTTACACAGCACTCTTTCTAAGCAAGCGTTATAGCGTGAAAAGAGTGCGGTGCAAAACGAGCGTCAGTGGTGCAACGGTCAGCATATGCTTCCGGAAAGAGTGAGATCTGGGTTCAAATCCCGGCTGACGTAAATGTTTTTGCACAGCACTACACATTATTGGTTATACTGTAACATCATACCACCGCAACTGGCGGTCAAATAGAAAGAATTCTGTCAAATTTTATGGTTGTTCCACACAGTATCGATTACTGTAATCTCATGGGAATATCTCAAGAATATATCCCGAATAGAGATAGTATCCGACATTGATTCGTCAAAAGCGCTCTGCTTCAGCAGGACAATGCCAATCTCACATCGCAAAGAGGGCTAAGGAAAAGTCTGATGAATTGTAGGGAGTCGAGGACTTGTCGCCCCCAGCCTAGAGTCCAAACACTGTGCCTTCCGGTTATGGTCTCTTCCGCTCAATGGAGCACATCCTGCATGGAGGCCGACTAGACTTTTCATCAAGTTGAAGAGGATTGTACGGAGTTCCGTCGATTCAAGGCCCAAGGAATGGCGATGTAAAGCCAATCCGCAAGCTTGCAGAGAGTTGGCAGAGGATAGTGGATAATGATGGTCTTTATTTTGAAGTATAATCATTGTTGTTATCAATTGAATTCACGTGGAAACTTTGAATTTTCAGCGGATGATGAAGAATTTTTCCTATAAATTTAGGTAAGAAACCCCTGTAAGCCGAAAACTGAATAAAAAAGTAGAAGCGTACACCTAAGATCATTGCGTAATATGCAAGCATTCGATTTCAGCGGGAGTTGAACCAGCGTTTCACTTATACTAGCGGAGCGTCCTACCACTAAACCTTTGAAGGCATCGCTTACACTCACTCTTTCTTCAATATGAACACCATAGCAATCACCAATCAGCCTTTAAAAGGTTTGGTATGGAAGCGCACATCGGAATTCAGCGTGACTGAGTTCAATGTTGATATGTGCTCACCTGGTCAAACCAGTTAACCCTCTGAGGACCAGCGTTGATGGACACATGGCGTCGCGACGTCGCTTGCGCGGCAGTCAGGCGGGCGACATCTGCATGTCCGTGCATGCATGTTTGGCTCTGCTCTGCGATAAGACACGACGCCGCCATTAAAGTAGCCGAGTGAGCTTTGACGTTGCCTGGTGAGCATCGAAAAGACTCTCATGGTCCCCAAAGGGTTGAAGGTTGGTTGCTGACTGTTGCGTTAGCTCATATAGAAGATACAAGGAGCGGCAGTATAGAGGTGGCTTGGGTGGTATAGAGCTAGCAGGTGTTCTTTATGTGAGTAAAACGCGGGTTCAACTTCCGTGTAAAGGTGATTTTTTTCCATACCACTCAGCAATCCAAGATATGTATTCAAAGCATCACATCATTGTCAGCAAACATTAGAAATAAGGATTTCTTTAGATAAATAAGGCTCGCTAGGTAAGGATTTATACTTGATTTTTGTGGGGAAAAAGGAACTGATCACGAGGGATTTTTGGGGTTGTGACGACTACAAGTAAATCATGATGCAGAACGCGTAAAAAACTTGAGACGGTTGATAAACATTTCTGAAATGCTCTAGTAAACCGCATGATAATAAGCCGCTTTCCACAATAGTTTTAATCAATTTAAAGCCTCTAAACGGCTAGCAAAAGCAAGGCAACAACTCTAAAAAGTGAACAATATGATCAAGACTGAAACCATCTTATCTATACAAACACCTCAACAATATTTACAAGAAATGTCCTACTACGAGGACTTTGATAAATTACTTTTTTGTGTCACTCAGGAACTATATCAACGCCGGAATGTAGAGGAGATGGTCTATTTGAAGCAGCTGCACTACGAAATATACGACGGCGGGTGAGTCCTGCTTCGTGTTGTTCTTTTTCAAACTTCTGCATTTTCTCTTCCACATCTAGCTCGTGCTCTAAATCCGAACCAACTCGGTAGTCTGCAACCAAGTCGAAACGAAGATAGTCATTCATCTGAATAGAACAATATGGATATTCTCTTTATCGTATACTCAAATCATTAGTGAATCAAAGATTACCAAAGAAATCGAAAATAAATCAAGTTACCACTTCCTTGAACTCAAGAAGATTTTTGGTATTTCCTCTATTTCACGGAAAATTTACGTAAGCTTTCTTTTCCTTGTTATTGACGAGATATATGTGTACAGATGTTTGAGTTATGGACAAATTTCTCCCAGAACTCCAATATATGCCAATTTTCAAAAAAAAAAAAAACACTTGGTACGAATATTTAACGAAAATTAGGTCGAAGCAAGAACACTAGAGATTTGACGATGGTTTTACTGAGTTTATTTCAACTATCTGCCTGAGATGACTGCCGGTATATTCCATAACTTGATTACTGATCACAAATAACTATGAATTACGAGTTTTCAAAAAAAAAAAACCCCACTTTCTAAAACATTTCAAAGCAATGGCTAGTTTCTTTCTAACACATCTGAATCAAAATCTCGCTGTGCCAAATTTGTTTCCTAACGTTTTTGAGTTGTCCCTAGTAAAAATTT